TCTCCTGAGCTATTTATGCTGGTCCAACACCTTCAGTCCCTTCAGTGCATGCTGACTGTGCTTGGTTATTAAAACTATAAAGAGGCCTTCAAAACCGACAATCCTCCAACAGTATTGTCATTTTTCTTCAATGAGGTTTACTACAGAGAGGTTCCAGGCAGCCACATATTGGAGGGTGTTCACGACCAAATGTTAGGACTGCTAAAGTAGTTGTATAGACAGGCAGAGACACTGTGATTTGAAGACCATAGTGACATTATACTGATGTAAAACAGGTGATGAATGATGAGTAAGACCCTTGACTGTGTTCTCCTGAGCACCATCAGCTTGGTAACCAGGATGCTGAATGCATGTAACCCAGTCTTTGTGAGCTTCTTCTCTGATTCCTGTTAAATCTCTTAAAACCTGTCTACCAAATCTTGTTGGAAGTTGTACTTGAACTGGTGTAGGTTGATGGACTGGGGCTGACTGGTCGTGTTCCTGCCATGGAGCCAGGTTTTTGATACTGACTGCATTTATCACTGATATTAGAGATCAACCAAGTTTTAACCATATCAGTATCAATTATCGGTAATCAAGAAAGGCAGATATCTTTTATTAAATGGTATATAAACAACACATGATAGCAGGGAGCCGGTCATTCAGAACTGGACTAGTCAAAATAAAGATTTTTAGACTTAGACTTTCTTTATTGTCATTGCACAAAAACACAACTGTGAATCTGGCAACGAAATGTCACTGCTTGGCTATCAGAGTAAACAGAGCCGCAGCTTGTGAGACAGTGACTGGTTAATAAATGCTGTAAACATATGACGATAAACATATCTATCTATAGATATATATAAAGAAAAACTAATGCAACGGAGAAACAGCTAAATATGAACAGTATAAAAATAGCATGAACATACCAGTGTATTGTCAAAAACGTATAAAGAGCAAAAATATAAACTGAATAAAAATAACTGTCAGAATATATATATATATAAGAAATATTGCACCTTAAGTACTGAGCAGCAGCGACTGAAATACTGCACTCAAGTATTGTCAATACTCCTTCTTGTCCTTGTTTTTGTATGATTTATTGAGACTCTTTCCTCTGTTGATGGGCTGTCTAGGATGTTGTTTGTTTGTTCTGTTTGTTAAAATAAAGCAAAAGCTCAATAAAAATAAAATAAATATTAGTATTAATCAATTTCTGCATATTTACATGGATGCTATAGGATAACAGTGTGTCATAAACACATTACTGCAGCTGAATATGTACTGTGCTGTAGAAGTGATGGGTTAGGGTATGTGATGTCAGCATGCTCTTCTCTGTTTACTGTGAAACTCAACAGTTTCTCCTCTACTCCTGCACTTATGTCTGCTGATCTTGTTTTTTTTATGAATCTTTTGCTTGTCTAAGAATTTAATTGGCCACAAAGGGCAATATCTTAAAGCATTGTTTCCTCTGGTTTCCAAATGCTGTTAATCTGTGGCTGCTTCCTGAATGAGCTGCTCGCGGTTAGCTGAGCCGCTGTGAAGGTAGCTGATGTGCTGGTTTGTGGTGATGACTATCCTTGTTTAGTTTTTGCAGGTTGTGCTTCTGCTAAAGAGATGTGTTTGTCAGCAAGCACAGATTGTTAAAGTAGATCTTACAGTCCTCCATATACCTTTAGCCACAGGTTGAGAGGGCCAGCTAACCACTGAGTGAGAGTTGTAGCCCAATATTGACAGCAGATAAATTAGAAAATGGAGTTTATTACAACTTCAGCAACATGTCCTACTCCACTTGTCTGTCCCTCTGTGTAAATACTAGCTCTCAGTGACAGCCTGTGACTGGCATAATAAGAGGACTGTGGGGGGGACATGACTGGAGACCACAGAGCTGGCTCCATCAGGCACAGAGTAGTGCAGTTAGTATATTTAGCAGTAACTGGCTAATACAAATAACAATACAGATGATCAGGCCGATAATCAATCAATCCCTATATTACAATATTTTGGCAACTGGAAGTGACGTAATGGGCTTTTTAATACAAAGGTTAGTTTTTTGATTACTTGTTGATAAGTTTACAAAGTGTGAGAGGTTCTGTCTTTATCAGGATAGCTCCCTACACACATGCAGCTGGCTTGAAGCCTGTTTAAAGCTTCAAGGCTTTGTTGTGTTGCTATTTTACACACTGAATCACAATTATTAAATACTGAGCACTTTCAAGATGCACGGACCGACGCACAACTCTGTGAGAACACCTTCTGTGTGAATACACACACACTGATGACCTGCTGCTGCCCTGCCGATCATGCTACTCACATGATGCTTTCTGTGCGGAGAACTTCTGTAGGAGGGTCTTGTTCAGTCTAGCTGATGCCCCTTTTGGCAGCCTCCTCTCACCTTAGCCCCTCCAAAAAGAAATCAGGGACCATGCTGAATCTAATTGATTGCCCAATAGGTTTTCCCATACGACAAATCTGACTTCTTGTTTTGTATATAACAGGAAACACTGACCAGTAGAAAGGTGGAAGGCATGACTCGGCCTTTACTCCCATAACTTTGTCTTTCTCTGTGATACTGTGTCCAGAACTAAGGTTCATGCCTGGGAAGTAGAAGCTCCAGCCTGCAGGAGAGAGAGAGAGAGAGAGAGAGAGAGAGAGAGAGTGAGTGAGTGTTCATAAGACTGGACAGTGCCATAGGAGTGATGGGTCCAAGGAGGAAGGCCTCTAAACTCCAGCCTTCAGTGGACAGCGGTGGAGGGGAACCTGTCCTGAGACCCGCTGAGCCCAAAGACTACATCAACGAACTGTCCCATGAAGTCCTCTGTCATATATTCAGGTACACTGTACCACTCTGGTGTGATTACAGGGCATGGCTGGGCTTCTACGTTATGCACCATTGAGTCCAAAGGTCTGAATCCACACTGAAAGTTTGTCATATTGTCCTGTAAAGCTGGAAATATTCTGACATTTAGACAATTTAGAAACATTTAAAATTACTACAAGTTGTGATGTAAAAATGAAGGATAAATACTTAAACTTTCTCTATACAAGATGTTGAACAGAAATAAAACATGAATCTAGCAGTGAACATCGGTGTGCTATGTAAAGATATAGAGGATGTAGAGAAGAGAATGATGTCACCCTCCTGTGTTTGTTCTAATCTTACTTTCTATGATTTGGCAACTGGTCTGGCTGCTTGTGCATGTTAGTGCATGTGAGCGCCTCCATTTGAAAATACTGACCTTCTCTGCATTTGTAAACTGACTGGTAGTGACCTGCCACACAGCACTGTAAAAAGAAAGGTGTCATCCAAGTGTTTAGCTGGTGACGAAGAATTTACAAAAACACGGTGTCCTATTTCTGTTATGTACCTCATTTATGCGCTCTCAATTCACTGTGTTCTTTTCTGTGTTTAGATAGATAGATTAAACCTTTATTGATCCCGCAGCGGGGACATTTTCAGTGTTACAGCAGCAGAATGGAAAATAACATACAGTACAGGAGAAGAAAGAGCAGCACACAATGCACAGATATAAACAGATACTTTCTTCTTCTAGGAGAGTTATAAATGTTTAATGGAAAAAGTTCTGTGAAATTGCACAGTGTCCTTATTTACATTATTACTGCACGGTGGGTGACCTGAGCTACTGGGAGCTGGACTGAACAGTGTGACTGCAGCAGGAAGGAAGGACCTGCGATATCTCTCCTTTAGACACCGTGGGTGAAGCAGTCTTTCTGAAGGAGCTGCCCAGTGATCTGACTGTTTCCTGCAGGGGGTGGGAGGTGTCCTCCATGATGTACAACAGCTTTGTCATCATCCTCCTTTCTGCCACCACCTCCACTTGATCAGTTTATTTAGTCTCTTCCTGTCTGCAGCTGTGATACTGCTGCTCTAGCAGACCACTCCATACAGGATGGCTGATGCCACCACAGAGTTGTAGAAGGTCCTCAGGAATGCCCCCTGCACCCCGAAGAACCTCAGTTTCCTGAGCAGGTGGAGTCGGTTCTGACTCTTCTTGGAGAGTGCATTTGAATATTTGGAGATCTGGCGGAACCAATACTCACCCGCCACCACCGCACAGCGGACCCATTTAGAAGACGTGGACAACATCAAGATGGCTGTGACGACGGAGCTGAGAGGATCCTAGAAGGATTTTTCCAGGAGTGCGTGGCAAAGACGGCTGGGAAAGTCTATTAGACACCATGAGGATTACTACGAAGGGGAAAACTGGTAGTTGGTAGTTTGGATTTGAAACATGTCTTTATTGACACCAGTTCTGGAAGTTTTCTGACCCACCTCGTACATGCAGGGATAATAAAGAGAGAACTATTACAACGTGAATAGTGTCACAATATCACTGACAGTTGACAACATGTCAGTATATGTCACATATTGTTGAGTAAGACTGACACCTTGACCTACGCCTAAGATGCCGAAGATTGTGACTGTTTGATCATTGTCTTGTTTTGTAGGTACCTTCCCATGAAGGATATCATGTGTATGGAGTGTCTGTCCAGAAAACTTCGAGAAGCTGTGACGCTGTACCTGCGAGTAGTCAAAGTAGTGGATCTATGTGCTGGTCGCTGGTGGGAGTACATGCCCTCAGGTAAGAGCCCGAGGAACGCCACTTGGTTCATTACAAACAAAGAACTATGGGTGTATTCACTCCTGCAGTGCTATTGTGAAGAGACTTTTAAGAAATGAGACAGTAAGTTCTGTATTTGGTAGTGGAGATACAGTCTGAAAGGGTAGCTCTTAACATGTCTAGTGGAGAGTTAATATTGGGCCAAAACAGAGCTTTGCCTGAGATAAGACGACAAGCTTGTCTGAGTGCTGGTGTGCCCAGCTGTCCAGAGACAGTGTAGCACTTAGAATGGCATGTTATTAATTCAGCATTAATTCAGTATTAAACTGATTTTGAGCTGTAGCAAGGAACATAGAAGCAAAGTGGTTTGAGAAAATGTGGCGAGGTTGATCCCTTGGTGTGGGTAGAGCTGGGTGATAAAAGGAAAGAGACAGCAGGAAGAAAATCATTTGATAGTTTCACTGAAATGCAGTAGATGCAGACTGCCATTAAAGCACCTGATAAAAAACACAATGTTTGGTTGCATGAACAAACCCCTATGCTCCCTTCCTGGCTCACAGAGAGCCTGCGATACGCTGATAATGGAGCCCCGGCCAGGTTCCCCCTGGCCGCCCCCAATGAGCTCAGTGTTTGGAATGCTTTTACATGACAACATTTTATTATCTCAGTTCAATAGCTTCTTGTAGTTTGTCTATTTGTTGCATCTTATTAATGTTTTCATTGAGGTCTGTTTACATCACAGGTGATAGAATTTCTTTCTGTATTTAATGTGCATTCAGGTGAGATCATTGCTCTGTCCTTAGCCTGTTTAGTACTATTTGTGAGTGTAAATTTAAATATTTGTGTGTTTTTCATAGTTTTATGTTACTATTTAAATTATTATCAATGGGCCTCAATAAAGTGTTTACGCTGAAATTAAGGTGGTTACATTTAAATTAAACATTTACATAATTTTATATATAAAAAGTCATTAAAGATATTTACTGATTAAAAAGTGTTAAGCTGTATTGCCTGGGCTGAGGTATGGGGGAGTATTATGGACTGGACTGGTGGCGTGTGGTGAGGAGGGCATTGCAGTAGTACAGAGAGGGAGCACCATGCTTTGATCATTTAATCTAATAATTTGTCTTTTATTGTGGTCAACGGTTTAGGCTTTACGGACAGCAGCTTTCTTCTCCTTCTGAAGAAGATGCCAGATCTGGAGCAGTTGTATGGCCTCCACCCTCGATACCTGGAAAGGAGGCGAGTCCGAGGCTACGAGGCTTTCAGTATACCTGGAGTCCTGGAGGCACTACAAGCCTGCCCTAACCTGCTGGTCAGTATGTGGTGTGAGGAGGTGCAGTATACGTCACATAAAGCAAGCAAACCATTATACCAACAGTGGCACAATGTCTGTGTAGATTCTTTGTCGCCCAGGAGCTTTAGTAGAAGACCACAGTAAGCAGCTTCAGGTTAGAACTGAAGAAGCCTTTTGGCTGAGAGGTGAAACCTCTTCAAGAACCTCAAACAGAAGTCCAGGGGCCTCATTTACCATCAGTGCATAGAAAAGGTTCTAAATTCTGTCGTACGAATGAAATTTAGAGTGTGCATAAGTACAAAAAAATCTGTATTTATCAAACGTGCGTACGGGGGTCGTAAGCACATCAGTGTTGATAAATCCCACTTGTTCTTAACCTCCGTGCTCGTGCACGTTGCCTTCAGGAACGCCTCCAAATCACCATATAGGGCAACAACACGCCTCTTTATAAAGCAAGTGAAGATTTCTTTTTTCCCTCACCTGTCGTCATCATCGTGGCAAAAAGGGCGAGAAAGAGGAACTTTTATGAAACTGAGATCGAGGTACTTGTCAGCGAGGTTGAAGCAAACCAGAAAATATTATTTGGTGCGTGAAATGTTGGGATGAGCAGCGAAAGAAAAAATATTGCAGACAAGATAACCACAGCAGTTATTTCTGTTGGGACAGAGGAGAGATCGCCGGTAAAACTGGTGATTTGACGTTAAGCTCAATGCCAAAAAATGCATCATAGTCCATAAAAGAGAAATGACTGCAACTGGAGGAGGACGAATTAATACCAAACGTTCACCCAGTGGATAACCCTGATCACTGCAGATGACATGTTTTAATAACCAAACAAAGTCCAGCTAAAACATTTCCACACTCTGTGACACTCACCAATAAGCCAGCCATCTTCAGCAGCTCCTGCTTGGAGACCCACAGAACTTGTTCTGCTCAATGAATGAGTCGTGCATTCCTCCAAGCCGCCGGGCAACAACATTGGATAGCCACAAATGCGCAGCACAAATTCTCAGTACGTTGAGTAAATGAAGCCCTTTTCTATTTACAAAATTAAGCTCGTTTAGTGATGCTGCTTTGATTGTGATGTGGGTGCTGTCTATGGCTCCACATATGTTTGGGAATCCAGCGACGGCGTTAAGTCCCCGTTTGATTTGGGCTCATCGGTGATTGCTGTAAGGGAATTGGATGTAGGCTGGGGCCAGGGGAGTTATGGCATCCAACACTGCCGGCTTGATCCTGCTCAGTGGTGGCTAGAAATGCCGCATATGTCTCCAACCTCACGCTGGTCAAAATCTCTGAATACTTTCTATTTGTAGTTTCACTGTTCTACCGCTAGATTATGTGAGTACACATGGTCAGAGGTGTGCGTATATTTACTCACATTCCTAAGTATAAGTACAAGTTGATAAATTCCATACTTTGCGTAGGAATGTTCGTACGCACACTCTACGCACATATCTGTGCATACGCACTGATGATAAATGAGGCTCCAGGTGTTTTCTACTGAAGCCTCTAGGAATGGCAGAAAGTGATTCCACTGGTTGGTTCCTTTCAAATTCAGCACAAACTTGTACTTGGACTCGAGTATGAAGTAATTCGATTTTGGTGGTGAACCTAAACAAGGTCAGAGTCTCCGGAATGCCTCAAAGCCCTTTCAGCTTGACCATCAGATCTACCCTGTGGTGTTTTCAGTTTTGATCAGTGCTATAGGTAGGACTGTGTATTGCATCACCTGTGTGCCACATGATTCATTAGTCTCAAAGTTCATGCACATGAAACCAGGCACATGATACGAGCTCACAGAATACACCCCGTTCCAAATTATTATGCAAATGATTTTTCTTTGATTTTCCTAAATAGTTGATGCAAATGACAGTCAGCATAACTTTCAAGTCAGTATAATTCGAATGTTATTGAACAAACCTCCCGATGATAGCAGGATTGTTTTCAAAAATAAAAACCTTAAAATGCACTGTTCCACATTATTACACACAACAGAGTTCCAAAACATCTCATATGTTGTAGAGAACTGAAAATGGTCATGTGTTGAATTTGCAGCCTGAGGAGTTCATATTTACTCAAATCAAAGCTATTTCAGTCAAAAACATCTGAACAGGTCAAGTTACAGTTTAACACAGGACCTCTTATTTGATAGCAGCTTCACAATTCTTGCATCCATTGAACTTGTGAGCTTTTGGAGAGTTTCTGCTTGAATTTCTTTGCAGGATATCAGAATAGCCTCCCAGAGCTGCTGTTTGGATGTAAACAGCCTCCCACCGTCATAGGTCTTTTGCTTGAGGATGCTCCAAAGGTTCTCAGTAGGGTTGAGGTCAGGGGAGGATGGGGGCCACACCATGAGTTTGTCTCCTTTCATGCCCATAGCAGCCAGTGATGCAGAGGTAACGCTGCAGCATGAGATGGTGCATCGTCATGCATGAAGATGATTTTGTAATGAAGAGCACATTTCTTCTCTTTGTACCATGGAAGTAAGTGGACAGTCAGAAGCTCCACATACTGTTCAGAGGTCATTTTCACACCTGAAGGGACCCTGAAGGGGCTGACCAGCTCTCTCCCCATGATTCCAGCCTAAACATGACTCCACCACCTCCCTGCTGACTTTACAGCCTTGTTGGGACATGCTGGCCTCCTACCATCCACTGCTCCATCCATCTGGACCATCCAGGGTTGCACGGCACTCATCAGTGAACAAGAGTGTTTGAAAATTAGTCGTCATGTATTTCTGGGCCCACTGCAGCCGTTTCTGCTTCTGAGCACTGGTTAGGGGTGGCCCAGTAGAAGGTTTATGCATCACTGCATGCCTCTGGAGGATCCTACACCTTGATGTTCGTGGGACTCCAGCAGCACCAGCAGCTTCAGATACCTGTTTGATGCTTTGTAATGGCCTTTTAGCAGCTGCTCTCTTAATCCGATGTGTTTGTCTGACAGAAACCTCCCTCATTGTACCTTTATCTATACGAACCTGTGTGTGCTCTGAATCAGCCACAAATCTCTTCACAGGACGATGATCACGCTTAAGTTTTCGTGAAATATCTAAGGTTTTCATACCTTGTCCAAGGCATTCAACTATTTCACGCTGTTCGGCAGCAGAGGGGTCCTTTTTCTTTCCCATATTGCTTAGAAATGGTGGCCTGCTTAATAATGTGGAACATCCTTCTTTAGTAGTTTTTCCTTTAATTGGGCTCAGCTGGTGAACTAATTATCACACGAGTCTGAAATTGATGTGAGTTATCCAAAGAGCCCTGAGACACAGTATCATCCATGAGTTTAAGTGAAGAACAAAAAATGTTGTCTTTATGACACTTACATACAATTTAATACTCATATCACATGAGCAAGGACGACGATATATCGCTGTATGGCTGTTTTGACCCTTCTGGATACTGTGGGTGTTGAAAGTGATCCATCAAAGGAGAAGAACAGCCACTGTCTGCCTCAAAAGTCTCCTTGACAAGTCTGGAGTCTGGAGCAGTTGTGAGCCTACAGGGACCACATGTGTGCATGTGGAGCAGCACGTCTCCCATGCACGTTTGTGGGCCTGTGTTATGTGCCTAATTTTAATTTGCGCTTTAAATGATCATTACAACAAAAGAAAAAACTGTTGTTTCAGTAGGAAGTCATGAATTAAATGGTTTTATTCCAGGGTGTGGAGACGTCCCATCTGGAGCTGGTGGAAGCCGTTTGGAACTACATGCCCCAGGTTCACATACTGGGAAAGTTCCGCAACCGCAATGGGGCTTTTCCCATTCCTGCTGAGAACAAACTCACCATCCCTATAACCGCAAAGATCCAGACCCTACATCTAGTGGGTGAGTAGGACATCATGACCAGTGTTGACAGTACTGACTACTTCCTCAGAGTTTAAAACAACAACAACAAACAACGTAATAGTTAGTGGGTAGTTACAAGTGTAGCTTACATTTATGTTGTCTAGTCACAAGGCCCTTGCCGTTTGTCACCATGAGTTTTTAGAATACCAGAGCTGTGTTATGTTTATAAAGTGTCTGTTGTAGGTGTGAATGTCCCAGAGATCCCCTGTGTGTCCATGCTGCGACACCTTTACCTGAAGTGGGTTCGTCTCACCAAGCCACAGCCGTTTAAGGACTTTCTGTGTGTGAGCCTGAGAACCTTTGTCATGCGCAACTGTGCAGGGCCAACCAACTCCCTCAAATATGTTCCCTTGGTTACTGGCTTAGCATCAGCCCGGAACCTGGAGCAACTGGAGCTGGTAAGAGTTCCCTTCCTGGGAGGACTGATCCAACATGTGGTGGAGGACAGCTGGAGGTCAGGTGAGGAGGGCATATGTTCATGAGCGGTTCTAAGCAGCCATGTTTCCAAAACACATTTTATCTCAAGTATCGCAGCAGAAAGAGCCATCGATTAACTTTGGAAAAAAAACATCCTCAATTTTGCAAAAACTTTAGGTGGTTTAATGCGCATAATGGAAGATGGAAATACCTCTTTGAGTTCTGACATAGTGACCGTTATCAGCTGATTCAGCTCCTTTTGCAGTCTTTATCTCCAGACAGCGTGAGATTTGTCCAGTACCAGTTGACACGAAACAAAACATACTGAAAAACTTCCTGAAGACCTCTCCAAGGTTTTCAGTGTTTGGCAAACAAGTCTTTTTGCTTCCAACTTCGTCCACTTCTTCCTGCTCTGCAGTAAGGAGGCGAATCAGAGAGACGCTGTCGTAATGGTGCATGTTTTCTTTTCTGGGCCAGTGGACACTGTACCTGCCTTTCAATAACTTGCGTGCTGAATTCTGGTCCTATCTACACTTAAAAGCTGATGATAGTTTACAGGTTAATTATTTACTGATTAGAACAGCAAAATAAAATGATGAAAATCACCAAGAGAACCGTTACAATAAAAGAGCCACTATTAGCCAATATACAGTCATGGAAAAAATGATTAGACCACCTTGTTTTCTTCAATTTCTTGTTCATTTTAATGCCTGGTACCACTAAAGGTACATTTGTTTGGACAAATATAATGATAACAACAAAAATACCTCATAAGAGCTTAATTTCAGAGCTTGTATCAGACATGTTCCAGGGTTTTCTTGATAATAAGTTCTTCCATCGGTAGCTATGGCATTGTGCTGCCAAAACAGTGCTTTTAGACATTCCATGTTTTCTGTTCTGTCTGTTTTAGTCACATGATGCACAGGAGTTAGTACTTGATGGTATAACCATTGTTTCTGATGAATGCAGCCATGCGTCTTGGCTGCTCTCCACCAGCTTCTGACATTGTTCTGCTGTCACAGCAGCCCATTCCTGTTGCACACATTCAAACTAATGTGCTTTGTTTGTGGGCTTGTGGTTCTCCATTTAGCGTTTGATGGTTTTCCACAGGTTTTCAGTTGGATGTAGATCTGGTGATTGAGCAGGCCAAGGCATGGTTCCAGTGTTCTGGCTCTCCATCCAGACTTTAACTGACCTTGCCATGTGGCAAGGAGCATTTTCGTGTTGGAAAATCCAGTCATTGGAGGCAGGAAAGAGTTTTCCAGCTGATGGGAGAAGACCGTTTTCCAGAGTAGCCTGTACATGACCCGGTTCATTCGCCCTTCACACAGTTGCATTTGCCCTGTTCCCCCCAAACTGAAACAAGCTCAGATGGTCACTGATCCACCCCCATGTTTTACTGTAGGGGCAAGACAGTCTGGTCTGTAGGCTTCTCCAGGCTTCCTCCTCACCAGGAAGTTGGCTGGAGTGGGCATCAACTGAACATTGGATTCATCACTTTAGAGAACCTGAGCCCAATCATCAACAATCCAATCCTTGTGATCCCCAGCAAAGAGTAACCGGGCTTTCCTCTGGTTGATGAGGGGCTTCTTTTGTGCCCTGTGTGACTTCAGACCAGCTTCAACAAGTCGGTTTCCAACTGTCCTTGCCCAACAAGTCACATTTCTCCACAGTGCTCACTCATTTTAAGGTCCCTGGAGGCCTGACCACGATTCCTGACACAGAACGGATGAGTGCACGGTCATCTCGTGGGTAGAAAGTAGTTTCCTGCCGCCACCAGCTGGCAATGTGGTGGCACCATGTTGGGCTTGTTGTTTCTTGGTGTAATGAACAGCTGTCTTGGAGATCTTCAGTTTTTTCGCAACCTGTCTCTCACTCATGCCAGTTTCCAGCAGTGCCAAGATGGCTGACTTTGTGGCTTCACATAATCCTTGTGTTTTAGGCATTATGTGAGAGCTGACAGCTTCTGAGTTGTGCTATGGCTTGAATGTAAGCAGGAAACCACTCCAGGGGCCTCATTTATCATCAGTGCGTATGCACAGATATGTGCGTAGAGTGTGCGTACAAACATTCCTACGCAAAGTATGGAATTTATTTATATATGCACACCTCTGACCATGCGTACACACATAATCTAGCGGTAGAACAGTGAAACTACAAACAGAAAGTATTCGGAGATTTTGACCAGCGGCACATTGCAGCGTGAGGTTGGAGACATATGCGGTATTTCTAGCCACCACTGAGCAGGATCAAGCCGGCAGTGTTGGATGCCATAACTCCCCTGGCCCCAGCCTACATCCAATTCCCTTACAGCAATCACCGATGAGCCCAAATCAAACGGGGACTTAACGCCGTCGCTGGATTCCCAAACATATGTGGAGCCATAGACAGCACCCACATCACAATCAAAGCAGCATCACTAAACGAGCTTAATTTTGTAAATAGAAAAGGGCTTCATTCACTCAACGTACTGAGAATTTGTGCTGCGCATTTGTGGCTATCCAATGTTGTTGCCCGGCGGCTTGGAGGAATGCACGACTCATTCATTGAGCAGAACAAGTTCTGTGGGTCTCCAAGCAGGAGCTGCTGAAGATGGCTGGCTTATTGGTGAGTGTCACAGAGTGTGGAAATGTTTTAGCTGGACTTTGTTTGGTTATTAAAACATGTCATCTGCAGTGATCAGGGTTATCCACTGGGTGAACGTTTGGTATTAATTCGTCCTCCTCCAGTTGCAGTCATTTCTCTTTTATGGACTATGATGCATTTTTTGGCATTGAGCTTAACGTCAAACCACCAGTTTTACCGGCGATCTCTCCTCTGTCCCAACAGAAATAACTGCTGTGGTTATCTTGTCTGCAATATTTTTTCTTTCGCTGCTCATCCCAACATTTCACGCACCAAATAATATTTTCTGGTTTGCTTCAACCTCGCTGACAAGTACCTCGATCTCAGTTTCATAAAAGTTCCTCTTTCTCGCCCTTTTTGCCACGATGATGACGACAGGTGAGGGAAAAAAGAAATCTTCACTTGCTTTATAAAGAGGCGTGTTGTTGCCCTATATGGTGATTTGGAGGCGTTCCTGAAGGCAACGTGCACGAGCACGGAGGTTAAGAACAAGTGGGATTTACTTACGACCCCCGTACGCACGTTTGATAAATACAGATTTTTTTGTACTTACGCACACTCTAAATTTCATTCGTATGACAGAATTTAGAAGCTTTTCTACGCACTGATGATAAATGAGGCCCCAGGCCTTTGCATGTGCAGTGCTGCTGATGACATGAAATTGCCTCTTATATACCCTACAGGGAATACAATGAAGCTGAAGCATGTCACATAGGACATAAAGTAATGATGGAATCAGCTGCATGTTTAGTTGTTTTCATTGTATTCATCAGGTAATATACCTTTAGTGGTACCAGGCATTACAATGAACAAGAAATTGAAGAAAACAAGGTGGTCTAATCATGTTTTCCATGACTGTATATTCATCCAATTGCCCACGCCTATTCCGTGATTGATTACCTTGGGCTGGGCAAAATGTACAGGAGGATTAATAATCTGCAACATTAACAGTTGTGCTGTCAGTACTTTAGACATTAAGAACTTTATGCAGTACATTCTATTTCACCACCATAAGACACCCGTCTTGGTCCAAAGTCAGAAGAGAGTTCTCTCTGTCTAAACCTGTATATGTGGAGCAGCTCTGTTACACCTGTGCAGCACACAGAAGCTCTGCTCTCAGTGACGATAGACAGAAATAAATGTTCAAAAGTGCAATCACGCTTCAGTAGAGTTGATGCCGACAGTGTTCTTTGCCACACTGATAACAAGCTGTTTGCATGTAAGAGTAGAAACACAATCAATCTGTCGAAGTATCTGGCAGAAGGTACATTTAGACACATGCAGGTGAAGAAATGACTGCTTGGTTTATAGTTTATCTAACCTTAACTGAGACAAATTTTCAAAGCTTAAATTATTAAGCAATTGTTCATGACACAGTACTATTATTGTTCAGGTCCTACTTAAGACACTGTGACTTATCTATGTGGGTTAGGGTTGGTTAATAGCTCAGGGCTGTGTTGGAACTTATGTTGCATAGTGTATGCCCAGTTTTCATCTTCAGGCTTATAGTCCTTAGTTTCTCTTATTCAGCAATTTTCTACTGTATATTGTGGTTGGTCTTGAGAGATAATTTGCATCCTCTTACTGTAAACTGGTTAATTTTCAATGAAATGTGTTTGTTTGTGTGTCTGCAGGAGGATTTCGGAACCTCCACACCATTGTGTTTGGAGCCTGTAAGAATGCTCTAGAAGTGGACTTGGGCTACCTCATCATCACTGCTGCTCGCAGGTCCTCAGCCACACATCAGTTTGTGAAACTAAGACAGAGATGCACTTACCAAGCTCTTACATTAGGAACACCATATGAATACTGTTGTAAAATTGCCTCAGTTCTTGGTGTGTTTGATTTCATAAGATGTTGGGAACATTCCTTGATATGATTGCATCCCATCATTTCTGCAGCTTTGTCAGCTACACATTCATGCTGCTAGTCTCTAGGTCTGTCACATCCCAAAGGTGTTCTGCTGGATTCATAGCTATGTATTATGAAAGCCAGTGAAGTCAACAACACTTATTGGCATGGTCCTGAAACCAGTTTCATACATTATCCTGCTGGAGGTTGTCATTAGAAGATGCTAACTGCGGCCATAAAGCGATGCACATGGTCAACGACAGTCCTCACATAGTGTCTGGCATTCAAACCACAGCTGAAGTGTTCCAAGAAACCATTCCCTACACCATTACACCACCAGCAGTCTGTGTAAGGCAAATTCTGAGTCTGCTATCTGTGGCCTCAGCCGAAATAGAGATTCATCAGACCAAGCTATGTATTTCCAGCCTCGAGTCCTGTGGTCAGTGAAGTCTCAGATTGTTGTTCTTGGCTAGCAATAGTGGAACTCAACATGCTCTTCTTCTGTTGAATCCTATTTGCCTCCGTGTCTGTGTGGCCTGAGATGACCTTTTGTGAAAAATATTTCTCAAGTTGCTGTAGCATTAATGCTAGCTTTGACTTGTCTTGCCATTCTTCTCTTTCTTATCAAAATCTAATTTTACAAGAGTGTTTCACTAAACAACAGGGTTCATCATTTGAGTTATCTCAAAAAACTCAACTCAATTTAATTTCTTGTTTCTTTATTTCTGTGTCTTTAACAGGCTTCATGAGCTGCGTATCCAACCTTCACTGACGAAAGATGGAGTCTTCTCAGCTCTCAAAATGGCTGAACTAGAGTTTCCTCAGTTTGAAACACTTCATTTGGGATATGTGGATGAGTTCCTGCTGCAATGTTAGTTCCTTCTCTGAAATATCATCACTGGGCTCTGAGAACAATGGAAAATTGTTGTGTTCTGATTCATTGCAGTCATTTTAAAAAAGCTCAAGTCCACAGTAAAAAGTTTGATTTCACTAAAAAAAAATATTAAATAATGGAGTGATTGAGATCACAAATCTTTTTACACAAAAACATACAAGGCAACAAACAACTGATAATGAATTTACCACTTCTGCTACTTTTCAAATAAACAATAAGTACAGCCAGTAAATACTGAGATAAAGTCAGTAGTAAATCAGTGATGCACAAAGAAAGACTATGGAAAAAAGAATTCCATTCCCAGGCACTGGCACAGGCTACTGATCATCTTTATGTGGTATATGAACATGTGGTATGTCTTGTGTGTGTTTAAATGCAGGTAAGATGAGTCATTCAGAGCTGGTCAAGTACGGTCTCGCTGATGTCATTGAGAATCCAGGAATCATCACTGACATTGGCATAAAGGTGGTGAATGAGGTGTTCACTAATATTAAATACCTGCTCATCTACAACTGTCCTCACCTCCATAACCCTCACCACTGGATCACAGGTAAACTTGAGCGCTCATGTGGCGCTAATGTTACTATGCATGTGTTTGTGGTGAGCTTAAGTCATACAGATGGTCTTGGATACAAGTAGACTCTTCCCCAGGATACTGTCTGTTCTCTGTGGCTCCTCTGAGTGATTTGGCTGTACTGTGCTGTGTAACTGCTCTGTTCTGTCTGTATCTGTCCTCAGATCAATCCAGATGGAGCCGTCTTGTTGACCTCACTCTTGTTCGCTGTCATGCTATCAAACTGGAATCTTTTTCTCAGTTTATAGAATTACTGCCCAGTCTGGAGTTTATCTGTTTGGACCAGATGTTTAGAGAACCACCCAAGGTATAGTGAATATCTACACACACACACACACACACACACACATGCACACTGCACCTCTTAAATGCATTACAGTCAATTTCAAATGTAAAGGCATCCCGTGGACATTGTTGGCTTTGTTTTTTTGCCATATTAAGGCTGCTATTAGGTGCTCATTTTTAAAACTTCCTCAGGGAGTGACAAGTGGAACATTATTTAAACCTCTGATATTCAGCGAATGCTGTTCTTTTTGCTGTTGAATAGAATAGACCAGAATAGAATGGAATGCTTTTTATTGTTATCATACACAAAGTACAACGACATTAAAGTGAAGTGTGTGAGATCATCTCGTCAAGATCCAAGAAGCTCTCAAGGCCTTCATATAAAAGGCTGGGGATGTCTGTGCTGTAGGGGTAGAGCACCTTAGGCCAAAGGTTGATGATCGACTTTGTAATCGTGTCATCAGACCTGCGGCCGTATTTTTTGGACACTTGGGTGAAGAGAGGAGCAGATCTGTCAGCTGATCACCACCTGGTCGTGAGTCGGATCCGATGGCGGGGAAGGCTGCCGGACAGACCTGGTAAACCCAAACATATGGTGAGGGTGAACTGGGAACATCTTGCGGAGGCCCCTGTTCGTGAGGTTTTCAATTCCCACCACTGGAAGAGTTTCTCCTGCATCCCAGTGCAGGTTGGGGACATGGAGTTGGAGTAGGCCATGTTCAAAGCCTCCAATTGCAGAAGCGGCCGTTAGGAGCTGCGGCCAGAAGGTCACTGGTGCCTGTCGTGGCGGCAACCTCAAAACCCGCTGTGAGGGAAACCGTCTGGCTGAAGAAGGAGACCTTTTGGGCCTGGTTGGCTTGGGGGTCTCCTGAAGCAGCAGACAGGTACCGGTTGGCCAAAAAAGACTGCAGCTGCTGAGGTTGTGGAAGCTAAAACTCGGGTGTGGGAGGAGTTCGGGGAGGCTATGGAGAAGGACTTTTGGTCGGCCTCGAAGAAGTTCTGGCAAACCATTCGACGTCTCAGAAAGGGGAGGCAGGGATTCACCCAGGCTGTGTACAGCTGGGGAGGAGAACTGCTGACCCAGACTGGGGATCTTGTCGAGCGGTGGAAGGAGCACTTCGAGGAACTCCTGAACACGGTAAACATGTCCTCTGCTGAGGGGGCAAAGCCTGAAGACTCGGGGGTTTCTGCATCCATATCCGTGGCAGAGGTTGCCGAGGTAGTTAAAAAGCTCCTCGGTGGAAAAGCACCAGGTGTGGAGGAGTTTCGCCCCGAGAAGCTAAAGGTTGTGGACATTGTTGGACTGTCATGGCTGACACGTCTCTTCAGTGTCGCGTGGGCATCGGGCACAGTGCCTGTGGAGTGGCAGACCGGGGAGTTGCTTCCCCAAGCGAGGGAATTGAAGTATCTTGGGGTTTTGTTCATGAGTGATGGGAAAATGGAACGCAAGGTGGACAGGCGGCTTGGTGCGGCATCAGCAGTAATGCGGGCGCTGTACCGGACCGTTGTGGTGAAGAGGGAGCTGAGCCGCAAGGCCGTCTAGGTCCAAACCCTCACCTCTGGTCACGAACTTTGGGTCGTGACTGAAAGAAAGAGATCGCGGATACATGCGGCCGATTGTGGATTATGGAGGGATGGAACAATTTGTTTTCGTCATACTATTACACATTAATTGAATTCAAGTACAGTTAAAATGTATGTGTCGAATTTGCACTGTGCCGAATGTATAGTTAAAACTCAAGCATTGTTTATAAAAGCCATTACACTTTTAAAATGCTCAGTAATTTAATATGCCATTATGTCTTGGCCATGCCAGCTCCTGATTATAGTGACATTTAGAATGTGGCTCTTGGCTAAGGGATAATAATAGGAAAAGCCTTGGGCAGGCCAAACCAGTGGGTCCCCGGATGTCCTGTGTCTGCGTGTCAAATGTCATTGTCCAACTCTGTTCCAAGAACAAGATTTTATCACATCATCAGGGGTGCCATTTACATTTTTTCAGAATCCTCTTCATGAACATTTGAATAAAAATGTAGTTTTTTTTTCCCATAAATATGTTGACGGAGCCCTGTGATAGACTGGCGACCTGTCCAGGGAGTCCCCTGCCTTCGCCCTAAGTCAGCTGGGATAGGCTCCAGCCCCCCCGCGACCCTAGTGAGGATTAAGCGGTGTATAGATAATGGATGGGATGGATGTTGACGGAGCTGCTTACTAAAGCACATCTACTCGTACTTTAATCATCAAAAATCTGCTAAGTTGAAATACACTAATATTTTCTGTAATTGCTAGACATATAGGAAAGGAATGTGCATTCTCAACAAATGAGTATTTAGTGTGATTTGTTGGTATGTGGTTGATCATATCAGTGCTGATACATATTGTGCATTATGTGTGTGTTAGGGCTGTGCAAGGGTGGGCTTGAGTGCAGGAACTGGTATTGGCGTGTCCTCAGCACTGGTCAGCAACCAGAACTCCAACAATGACAATGACAACCACCACCATCACCACAATGAGGCCAACATACCTCCAGCTCCTCCGCCTGTCATCAACAACAACAACCAGAGGCAGCCGCCGCAGCCGCCGCAGCAACACCAGCAGCAGCAGCAGCACAATGGCAAGTCTCACCGCAATCTTATGCCACGTTTACACGTAGCCGGGATATTCACAAAAACAGATCCATGTTTTTAAAAATAACATCGTTCACACCAGATCATTTTCAAAAAAACCTTCGTTTACACAAACTCGCAGAAACATGTCATTATGAGCTGCTATGAGCTGCCAGACCTATAGGGGGCAGTGTAACGAGAAGCATAAATCCATGCTTGCCAATCAGAATCCTGAAAAAAACAACAATGAAGACTTCCTGTTACTTCAACGATAATGGCGCGAGGGTTGTTTGTTTGGACCGACAGAGAAGTGGAGCTATTCCTAAATGTGGTGTTAGAGTACAAAACAAGGAAAGTACTTGTAGTAAGGGCATTTTATGAGATTTTTCACAAATCTGCCAAATAAATCGTTACCAAACAATTTCTTCACCAGTATGTTTGTAAAAAGGTATGTAATAACATGCCTTAAAATGTTGAAGTTCAACTCCCGTGGGAAACCCTGAAAAAAACCTGCTCAAGTTAGGGTACCGAGAAATGATTGTGAAAAATAGATTTTTTTAAAAATCGGGCCTTAAGTAACTTATGAGGGATCAAATGAGAGTTTTTTCATGATTCTGAGTTGATTGTTAGCATTTATGTTTCACCACAAACACTCCATTTGAAAAAGGCCACACTCACTTTTACATTTACATTCACAATAGCTTTTATTTCACATACTTATACACTACTCAAAAAAAAATCTGTCAGCTGCACGTGTGAATGCTAACCCTGGTTGCAGCAGCAAACTAGGTCGGACCCGGTATTGTCTCTGTACGAGTGTGAACCGAACCGTCACATTACCGGATAGACACGCACATGCATCAGTTGTGTGACGTAATCTAAGGAAAGATTTTTCCTCGTTTTAGAAACAATATTTGTGGAGAGATTTGTCAGAGTTGCTTAATACACATTTGGTGTACCAGAATCACAACACATGAAGACAGACACAAAGAGCTCAAAGAATAATGATACTCACCAGTAGTTAATGTAGGTCTAGTTTTTCCTCCCCAGATGTCAGGAGGAGCTGAAGTTTGTTTCTTCCAGCTGTTTGGACTGTTGGCTCTGAGTTTAATACCTGCAGCATCAGACAGCAGCAGGATTCATGTGTCTCCAAAGAGAGAGAGCTATGCACACCTGCACGCTGAACAACAGGGCCGGTAAAAAACTGCATTCTTATAGTTATTAATTCTAAACAGTTCAGACCACTATCAGTCGGCAGGTCACGCTGTGCAGGTCGACATGTCATCTTCACATCAGACAGGTAAGCTGTCAAACACACAATCAGTTTCAGTTGTTCAGGGGTATTTCTTCGTAGTTTAGTACAAACCTGACAGCTGTAGGATCCATGAGTCTCTCCAAACAGAGAGAGAGCTGCTACAACAGCAGTAACATCTTATACATCTGTCGTCACATCGTGACTGTCCCCAGGTTAAGTCCCAAACTTTCACTTTCACTGTTAAAGAAATCAGGATTTTCGGATTCTTTGATCAGCTGCTATTGCTTTTGTTGTGCTCTGTTATTGCATTATTATTCACCGTACATCACTTGGTGTATTGAATGACAATATCACATGCTTAGTGCAGCTCTCTCTGGCGCTATGTGTGGTCTGTGGGAACGTTAATGGACACGTGGCCTGTGTTTGACAGGGGCTTGAATGACTGAAGGCTGTCACTGAAACAGATCGATGAGAAATGTTCCATGTCTCATGTCTAAAAGGGGCTTTAGAGACAGCTTATGACGCAGCTGTAGAAAATCTTGTTTTATTGGCAGTGGGTGGTAGTCAGGCAGAGGTTGATGGTGTGGTCTGGGGTGGGGTTGGTTCTGCTGGACAGAGTGCTGTCCTGTAGCAGTTTTCTGTTGCTTTCAGGGTGCGGATCCATGTGAAGTCAAATGACATTGTAGGTTCCAACAATTTCACCTGATTCCAGCTTAATTTGTTGGCACTGCTGACAGAGTGGTGGTGCCCTTTAATGTGGCTACTAAAACCGCTCACTGTAACATCCCTCTGTCACACAGTGTTAGACGGAGCAAAGAAAGTCAATGCAACACCTGCAAAATGTTTTAAAATGTTCAGTCATGGCCGAACAATGTCGTCATTAAAAATTTTAAGATGGGAAAAAAATCCCACTGAACATATTACTAGAACTTAGCAGAACTTTCTCAGAACATTTTTGGAATAAACATTTTATGCTGAGATGTGACTGCAAGCATGAATTTCTCTGTGAATGTCAGTAATGGTGTGTAGTTGTTTTTACAGCACCAGTGGAGGTCAATGGGGTGGAGGAAGAGGGCGAGGAGGAGGAAGAGGAGGTCATCTTGGAGGATGAGAACATAGAGGCTGAGCAAAAAGGAGCAAAAGGGGGAGAGGCCATGGAAGCTGATGTGAAACCAGGTCCTAGTCATCCAGCGGACCTGCCACAGCATTGTGATGAGGAGCAAGCAGGTTGGAGCTGCTCTTTTAAGAGATGATTAAATGATTAAAAACATTTGTTTCACTTGGCATTTTATAAAAGCTGTCATTCATTTTCTTCATTTTCCTCCCAACTCGAGGTCCCAGTGGTTTGGTCCAGCAGTGCCGACCAGCTGGTGCTGCCATCTCCAAGCCCCCATTGGTCATCTCAGACTCGGACAGTGAGGAAGAGGAAGGTCTTGTTTCAAGGCTCATGCCACCTTCCTGTTTACAGCAGTCAGCTTCCTGTACAAAAGGTGTCAGCACAACACATAAGACACCCTGATCACCTCAGGCTCAGAGCATTAAGGGGGATGTTCAGGAAATTCACTATTCACGTCTTACCCCCATTTTATGGTTTAGTGTGTTTTTGTCACAGCAGCAGAAAAAGCTAAAGAAATGCAGACGAAGTTTTTTCATCTGTTCAAAAGGAGTTCATTGGCTCCAACTCTAACTGGCACTCAGATGTGAATTAAACAGCAAAAACAAAGAGCTCAGTGTTCTTGCTGTCAGTGTGACTGTAACATAACATGTGGAGAGTGCTGCTGTTCTTTAGGAAGCCAGCGTTGCCATTTCAGCTGGAGAACTGTACGACTCTCTCTACATATGTTCTGATGTAAATCAGTTCAGTTTGCTGCTGTGCATAGGTCAGCTAACCAGACCTGCCCCTCTCAGTCTACATGAATGAATTCAAAACATTTAGTCACATTATTAATGCCAGTGTTGTAAAGCAACAAACAGAGAAACTTCCAAGTACACAAACACTTTTTATTGGACTGCAAAAATGACTCATAACATGAAATGCTCCATCTGGAATCAATGCCTGACTGAACTGACTTTGCAGGAAACGAGTCCTTTACCGATGTCACAGAAATGTGTGGGTGTGTGTTTCCAGGTAAAGGAAAGACACCTCTACGGCGGTGCAACAATGTGGACGTATCAGTGGCAGTCTCTGTTGACCAGCCAAAGGCTCAGGTGTCGGAGAGCAGCTGTGAAAAGAGCTGTCAGGTGACCAGCGAGCAGATAAAGGCAGACATGAAGGCTGCTACTGAGAGCAGCAGGAGGACTGGCAGTAAAGGAATCACAACTGAGACTGTGGAGGCCACTGCCAGGTCAGGGCCGGACAGTCGGACAGTACCGGGCACTGGGAGCACTGGGACAGCGTCAAGGGCTGGTGTGAGGCCAGTGACTGCATCTGTGGGTAGAGTTGGACCTGTGGCAGCTACATCTGGCCATGTGGGTGGATGTGGGAAGGTGGTGGTAGTCACCACACATGGAGCCACAGCAACCACAGACAGACCAGTGGGCAGGATTAATCATGGCACAGAGGGCCCCTCTGGAACACAGACTGGTGGCAGTTTGATCAGGGAGAACGGGGTGAGACAGAGCTCCAGCCATGACGATGTGGATAGTCGCGAGCCCAGAGGTGCTGCAACTGTAAACCATGCCTCCAGGACGTCAGCACCGCAGGGGGGACAGGGAGAGAGACTACATGCCCCTCCTGGATCTGCCTCTGCTGTTTGCTCAGGCTTACAGCAGAGTCAGGCCAGGTATGAGGACTTTGTTCCGAGGCGACCCCTGACCCGATCGTGCACCCGCACGTCCTCTGTGTCCTTGTTACCTGAGACAGGTAAGGCTGAAGCTAATCACACTGGACACAGTGATGGGTTTGTGAAAAAGAGAAACACTCCAGAAATGAAACAGAACTAAAACCCATCACAAAGAGACAGTCATCTGTCTGCTTGACTCGTTAGAGGAATAACAATCAAAAATAGATGAGAATTGAAATCAACACGACGAAAATCCATTTAGTGTAAAGTATGTATTGGGTGGACAACGCAACAAGCACTGTCCTCCACACTGACAATGCAGATGCTGTGAACTTTAGCTTTTGAAATGAATGTCTTCTGTATTTTACACCATGTTGGCTGGTTAATAGGCCAGCTGTAAGGCCTTTTATGTCTCCACAGCCAGCTGCACAACATTTCATAAATTGGCTCTCAGTTTGGTCTGTAGACTCCAATCTTTAAAGTCTTAAGGTGTGTACGAGGTGTGTCAGAAAGGTTCCAGGACTGGTGTCACACAAGGCATATTTCAAACCCAAACTGCAAACTAGGAATTTTTTCCTTCAGACGATTAACCAGCACGTCTACAAAGAGATCCTGCGGCGTTTGCTGCGTTCAGAAGAGGCAGAGTTGTGGTAGGACCAGTGGTGGCTGCTTCACAACACCCTGAGCATCCCACAGTTCCTGGCTGAGAAGAACATCTCCGTGCTGGAGCAACCTCCCTCCTCCCCCCACCTGGCTCCGTGGGATTGTTTCCTCTTCCCCAAGATCAAGGGGTCATCAAGGGGAGCCGTTTAGGAGACATGGACGACATCAAGATGACTGTGATGACAGAGCTGAGAGGATCCTGGAAGAATCCTTCCAGGAGTGCATGGCAGCGTGGCAGAGAAGGCTGGGGAAATGGGTTAGACTCCAGGGGGATTACAACGAAGGGGAAGACTGGTAGTTTGTAGTGTGGGTTTGAAATATATCTTTTGTGACACCAGTTCTGGAAGTTTTCTGACACACCTCGTAATTGAAAAGAAGGAAGCTCAGCAGGACTCTAGCTGCTCCTCAAGAAGCACCACACCACATTATCCTACCAGCCTGATACACCTAAACGTCCAACTGAACTATTGACTAGTGACCGGGTGGGTAACCCTGGTGTGAGAGATGTGTGAGAAATGAAGCACACCTGTGATGTCACTGCATTGATTTGTTTCCAAACTGTTTTTTGTGAGTGCTTACTTGTGATGTATGCTTTTAGTTATATTGCTTACAGCTTTTAAAACATTTTGTATTTTGCCTATTTGTTGGCAGGCAGTGTGATGCACACCTTTATATTGTTTTAGTGATATTTTTCTGTTATTGTGTAGATCTTTCTAGAGCCAGGCCTCGAGTGGCAGTGAGGAGGAAACGGATGGCTGACAAATCAACCAGTACCTCGGACCCAGTCACAGAGGATGACCACGTACAGGTGTACACACACACACACACACACACACGCACACACACACACACACAGACACACACACACACACACACACAGTTAGATTGTAGACATTTGTTCAGTGGAACATGACAGAATGGGTCAGGTGAGGTTTAGAGAAACTATTTATTTCTCATGTTTGCTATGTAAACAATATACATTTACATGTCTTTGGTTTCTCTTTTGCTTTCTGTTGCAAATACTTTTGGTGGATATTATTTTTGACAAATGTGATGAGCACCACTGAACTATGGTGCACATGTAGGGGTAGGTATGATGGGTGTTAACAGCTGTGTGCAGTGTGTCTGTTGTTCATGCCATTGAGATACCCAATGCTTTTGCCTGTGCAGGTTTTGTCTCTGAAGAGTAAGAACCTTGTGGGTATCACTCTGACCAATTGTGGAATCACTGACCTTGTCCTCAAAGACTGCCCCAAGATGATGTTTGTTCATGGTAACTGACAGACAAGGACACTGATGCTTCATTTTTCATATTGATGTTTATTTATCAGATATTTATTTTTGCATTACTTTGACTAAAAATGTAGTAGTAATCTCCAAGTTAAAGTTGTGCCTGGAGGAAACTGTGACAACAAACCAGTACAGTGTTTGGTGTATTTATTAGTTGATCATGTGATCTTTGAATGTACACTATCATTTCTCAAAAACACTAAATGTAGTATCCATGCGCAGTTTGTCCTCTGATATTGAAGCTGATATCACCAGGCTTCCTTGTAGATGGAATATTCAGAAGTGTTTTAATGTAAACTGGTCAGGATTTGTCAGGAGATCTTGGACTTGACCAAATTGTTGGATACACTCACTAATAACCAGTGACTGAGTGCCTCTCTAGAGAGCAGGAAACAAAAAGACCGCTGTCTCTGACCTGTTCTGCACCACAGACCGGTTTCAAGCAAGACAACTTTCTACAAACCGGTCATCACATTGCGCACTACAATAATCATTTTTTTCTAGTAAAAAAGTGTCATGACTTTTTTATTGCTATATATGTGTTTAGTTTTTACTTCAGTCTCAGTATCAAGTCTCTCCAGAGACGTTAGTTCTTTATTCCTGGCGGCAGCAGTCAGACCACAGACTGTATAAAAGATGGACGTAGCAACCGGCCCTGAAAAATGAAGCCAACCCGAAAGTGTCAAAAACCTGCAATATCACTACCTGGCTCCCATAGACTTGAATTGGAAAAGAAGTGATCACAGATCACGAAATACCGCATTCCTCCAGCTCAGGATTTTTTTAAAATTAGTTTTCATGGTCAAGTCCAGAGATCAGGTGGCCAATCTGAAAATAAATCAATACTGAATTTGTAAAAAATCGTCAACATTTTGGGGGAAAGGGGCGTGGCTGGCTTGTTTGACAGTTGGCAGCGAC